CACGGGACTAAGTAAGTTCCACAAGGTTTCCCTGTCCCTCCGACAAAGTTGTGGGCATACGGTCGAACCAACACTAAAGCTACAGGAGACTGCGACCAAACATAAAGCCATATCATCTTGATCTTCATCTATACGTTCAAAATAGACAGTTATTTAAGCATAAATCAGTCTAATAGTTTTTGGGTTCAAAAACAGATCTGGCTAAAAATATCTTCTACACGTGAAGCCAGATATACTAATTTAAAGCCAAACCATTTGCTGTTTCTGAAGATTTCAGGATTACATGTTGGAATAAAAAGTCCATTAAAATTAACAAAATAGCCAACTCTGAATAGAAGAAATTAATCTTTGAAATTGATTGGGAACTATCTGTGTCCTAAAGAGGCGGATGATGCGTAGTATCAAGAAGTACAACCAAGCAATTTAGGCCTTGACAATTCTCCATTGTGTTTACGCCTCTCGAGTGAATCTTACAGGGTTAACATTCAAGTGATTACGGTTTGGCTGTTCTCCCAATCACATTTACTTCATCCGTCGTTCGTAGCAATTCCACATATTTGCAATCATGTGGTTAAAGCATGAGCTAATCAACTATATCATCAGACTTCTCAAAAAGTGGATAAAGATAGGCTTTAAGAAGTTGTTAGCATCATGGATGTCTACTATTCCTACTGCGGAGTAGAGTTTTCCTAAATTATTGTCCCAGCTTAGCATACTTTTGAAATGGTCGCAGGAAAATGTGCCATATACATTTTCTTACAATTCAACAGCCGCAGCTGTGATTAGGTCAATTTACGACTCCATTACAACCAACTTATCTTTCTAAATAACTACCTCATTAACGTCACTAACTCCAACACAATTATTTCATCTTATGTTTTATTTCGCTCTAATTACAACGTTTAGATGCGATCTTTAATCGAAATGCAATACGTTTTTTCGCATTTCCCTATAGTTTTTAGCCTATATTCACGCAAATTTTCCAACACTTTTTTCAACTCTAATATTGAAGGCATATTGCTTGCTGTATTTCAATTTCTTATTTTACCTTAATTTACTTGCCTTATTCCATTTCTCATTAGCTACGACGCATATATTCGTCTTCTGACTTGTCTTGACATACTACTCGAGGCCAGCAATCTAGACCCGAAAGAAGCATCTGATTCTCTGCTTCTGCTACGGCGGCAACCTGTCCTGACGACATCTAGTCCCAGCATAGCTTATGCCGCTGAGAGTTCATTTGCTTCGCAAGCACACTCAGGCGAGCAGAATTTAATAGATGACGAAGAACAGCGCGTGCATTTAGCTAGGCATACCTTGCGTGATGTTCTATGTGATGTAATCATCAAGTCGGAAGACGTTATCGCCCACTTCGAGGTAAATTCTTCTAATTACTATATTATTTTGTTTTCAGTTTCTCATGTTCTGTTATGCTTGATCTACACCCATACCTGCTACATGTACCTGAGCGTACATAGCCATCATAATGTACACTCAAAAGAGTAGTTCATTATTTGCAATGACTTATAAGCTGCCGAGAGGCTCGGAGAGTGGGTAATGTTACTGGCATGATGTAGGCATGAAAACTAAGATTGAGTTTTCTATCTGATGCATCATGCTTTCTCTCCAATGTTACTCTTTTTCTCAGGAGCATCAGCCTGGTTTATGCACTCTGAATGTCGATCAGTAACACTCTCCCAGCCGAATCTGAATCTGCATTGGTTCTACCAAACTCCAATTCTCACTCTAAACTGAATCAATTCTCTATTGTATGGAACTATAATTATTAGCCGACCTTCACATTCCGCAAAGCATTTAGTAGGGAAAGTTCCTAATTGAATTGATTTCTCTAAGGGATTATTTCGCTCGGGACGGCGTCATCCAAAGCACAACTCGCCTCATCCAAATTTCGTAACAGCGTCTTGCCTTAATGGATCGCCTTGTAAGAAGTCTTTAGAATAAGGAAGCGTCACGCATCACACTTTTGAGAAAGCTCCCCAGACAAAGTTTTCCTCACAGCGCCTTTTCTGTTTGTCAGTTCTCTCTTTTTCGGCTTCATGTACGCCATCTCCAAACCACGCATCTGCGTCATGTAAAATAGCATTGTACCTTCTAGAGCAGTAGTACCACGCTCACCCAGCTCACCGAAGCAAGCTTCTTCAATAGCTGTCAATAAATTCCCGTATACAATACACCATATCACTGACACCAATAATGAGAAACTAGTAGATGCTGTGGCCTTGTTCTCGCAATTTGTTCGAATAAACAGGGAAACCTTGCGGAATGTACCTAGTTCTGAAACGACTATAAGCATCACTATAATTATCATGCATACTATTGCAGGGAACGTAGGCACTATTTTTATTTCTGTTAAACCATTGTGGCGTTATCCTTCCCTCTTATCCTAGCTCCTTGATATGTATCCGCATCCTTACCCTACTTAACATGGCCAGTATACCTATCTACACCTATGTGTGTTTTCGTCTGTTTCAGTTCGCCTAAGAAAGAGTTGATTTAAATAAGCGTAATCACCTTCACTGCTGGTTCTAAGTGCCGTTCGTATGGCTTCTGGAAGCATTTTAAAATTATTTTCCTATGTAACTGGTTATCTATACATAGAGTTACTCGGTTTAGATGAATCTTTTAGGATAGCATTGCTGAGAAGGCTTTCCATTCGTACGAAAGTACATGATGAAGAGATTCGTAGATGAATCTTACCAAAAGACGGCCGATTCTCGTACTGCGTCCGCTTGACTTTAATACGACGTTTAGGTTCAGGCAGTCCACGAGTCCTACCTCGTTTCGAGTAGAAAAAAAGAGCTATGTAATCGTCCATCATATGATGGGTATCATCAGAACTGGAACTCATTCCTGCAAAGTCTTAGGTTAACACCAAGTCAAGAAGACTGTCTGGGTCAATCTTACGCCTTATATAAACTCAACTAAAAATATATAGAAGTTGTTTGACCTTGCTTTCGCAACTCGGTCGTATTGATAGGAAGAATTAAAGGAGCGCACTAAGTCCGGAGTCCATTCTATGCATGATAATTTCCAGTGTCGGACAGTCGACGTAGTACATTCCCAGACGTTTCGCCTACATCGTAGCCGGCATCGTCCGTGAGTTTTGTCAGTCAGCACCATACTACAACTCGTCAAAGAGACAAGTAAAGCCGATCCTTTGATCAATTGTCTTCTAAACAATTGTGGTATCTCTCCTTCCTGGGCTAATCACCATTCCTATATCCTCGTATCACGCCTTCACTATCACAGTTTTTACTTGCTTATTTAAATGTGGTGTGTCCTTTTAAGCGGCTTTCCGGAGAACTATCCAGCAGACAATTGGTCAAAGGATCGACTTGATACTGGCGTATCTCCAATTTCGTTTGAGAAGGCGGGTCGAAGGGATTCGTAGATTGGCCGCACCGGATACCACAGGATGGTTGCCTTAGACTTTTGTCTGTTAAATTGTGCGAAGAGGACCTCGTCTCACCGTCTTACGATCTCGATGACTCCATACTGAGCTTTTGTTCGTTCGGTGATGGGAATCGTCAGAGCCAGAAAGGATTATTCACGAAAAATCGCCAAAAACACTAAACCGAGATAGATTCTACTTGATTCTTATACCTCAATTTGAGATCTTAATGAGGTATCCCATTATTTGGTTGGCTGACTTATGATTGTACTACATGCATGATCCCATATTTTACCCTTTTGTTTGTTCATATAATTTACCCTAGAAGCACGTACACATCCGCTTCACTGAGCAGAGCGCCTAAGCTCTGCTTCCCATGTTCGCAGATATCAGGCCTTCCCTTTACTGGTTCTCTTCTTGATTAAACCCATGTTATATGAGCAATCTTTGGACGCCTATCTCTGGTCGCATGCGGCATCTCCAGTAGATTTATAGTGCATTTTGGCCATAACGATTTGCTTATTCGTCTGCTAGCTCCCTGACTGCCAGATCCTAAAGTTGTACTGGTTTATTAGAAATGGGCATCACTCACTGACGTCTTAGCTTGATTACCATTTTGAAGTTCTATTCTATATTGTTCAGGTATACGTTCGGCGATCCCATGCGGAGTCCAAATATTTGTTCATAGATGTTCCCGTTGCATTTAAAATAGGTTGTCCTTATTGTCGAGTTGATTAGTCTTGTTAATTACTCGCTCCTGATCCGTTGTGATTCAAGGATATCCTCATCTCGGTCTAAGATTTCCAACAGGGCCGTTGGCGCATTTTCTCCAGAAATATTTGTATACATGGATTCCGCATCAAAACGTACCAATTAGTCCCTTTCTCCCAATGACATTGTTTTCATTTTTCGAGAAAATTTATCTGAATATTTCACCGTATTTCATATCCTATCATTCAATTAATTGAGTTTCATACATAAACTTTTTCAATTTGTGTTTCCTCATATTCGTTATGACTATCAGCCTTAGTGACTCACCTTCCTTGTGTATCTTCGGTAATTCGTAGGCTGTTAATGGACGCGCGTCCTTTCTTATCATTGAATTTTTTCTCCACGCGTCAATTTCACCGTTCCTATGCCTATATTTCAGCATTCCACTTAAAATTTCATTGATCTTTATAGCTGGGTCCTTGTTCAGTATACGATATGTGCTCCTGTCTCGTAGAATATGTTGCATCTTTTTGGTATATTGAAGTTGTTTGACCTTGTTTTCGCAACTTGGTCATAATGGTAGGAAGACTTATAGAAACGTAACTTGTCCTGAATCCGTTGTATGCATAATTATTTCCAAATTCGGACCGTGGACGTGGTACATTCCCAGACGTTTCGCCGGCATCGTATTTGGCAACATCAGTAAGTTCAACCATTCTTAGCACCATATTACATCTCGTCAAATAGACAAATGAAGCCGATCCTTTGACCAAACGTGTGCTAAACAGTTATGGTATCTCTCATTCTGCCCTGGCCTATTCACATTTCCTATATCCTCCAATCACGCCTTCACTTTCACATTATTTTACTTGCTTAATTAAATGTAGCTAGTGTGCCCTTTTTTAGCGGCTGTCATGAGAACTCTCCAAACTCCAAACTAGCCATCTCACCGCCCTTCATCCTTGTGCTGGGAATGTGGATCGGAGTCTGCCATATTGTTACGCAGTCCTCCTGTCCTAGATATTAACCCAGTCTCTCTCTTGCCCCGTAAGATCCCTCTGCCCTCTCTATGGTTCACATATTTCACTCGACCCCTGCCACCCCATCTGTGCCAACTTGAGGGGTTATTGGCCCTACTCTGCGTCTGGGTGACTAATTTGAGGCTCAAGCTTCTGAGTAAGAGTCATGGTCAGGCCTTTGCCACATGGACCACGTCTCTTATAAAAATTACGGTCTGTCCACTAGCTCCCATCGCCGCCGCGTCTATCCTGTTTCTATCCCTAATAACAAGCCTATGACTTATACCCTAGCCTCTTGTGCCAACCCACAAATATTGTGGTTATACTTGATTTGACTCGGTTCAATGTTGAACCACAACGTTTGTGGGGTGGCCCACAAGATGCTAGGGTATAAGAAGTCATAGACTTGGTATTAGGAATAAAAACAGGATATAGACGCTGCGGCGATGGGAGCTAGTGGACAGACCGTAATTTTTATAAGAGACGTGGTCCATGTTGCAAAGGCTTGAGCCTCGAATTAGATACCCAGAGGCAGGGTAGGGCCAATAACGCCTCAAGTTGGCACAGATATGGTGGCAGGGGTCGAGTGAAATATGTGAACCAGAGAGAGGGCAGACGGATCTTACGGGGCAAGTGAGAGACTGGGTTAATATCTAGGGCAGGAGGACTGCGTTACAATATGGCAGACTCCGATCCACATTCCTTTTTATCACAAGGATGAAGAGCGGTGAGATGGCCAGCATGGAGTTCGGAGAGTTCTCATGACAGCCGCTAAAAAAAGGGCACGCTGACCACATTTAATTAAGCAAGTAAAATATTGTGAAAGTGAAGGCGTGATTGGAGGATATAAGAAACGTGAATAGGCCAGAGCAGAATGGGAGATACCATAACTGTTTAGCACACATTTGGTCAAAGGATCGGCTTCACTTGTCTTTTTGACGAGTTGTAATATGGTGCTACGAATGGTATAACTCACTGACGATGCCGGCGAAACGTCTGGGAATGTACCACATCCACGGTCCGACTGGAAATAATTATGCAT